GCAGACGGCGGGGGGGGGGGAGTCCGGGCGGGAGGGGGAGGAGAGACTAGACGGAGTGGGGGGAGGACAGGCGGTGGAGCGGCAGACGGCGGGGGGGGGGGGTGGGGGGGGCAAATGGGGAGGGGGGAGTAGATGGAGTGGGGGGACACACGAGTGGGGGGACAGACTGGACAGACGGGGGAACAGATGGGAGGGGGCGGGAGATGAGGGGATGAGGGGGTGATGAGCAGCATGGGGGGGCAGATAGGGGAGGGGCAGACAACAGGGAGAGGGGAGAGGAGAGAGTAGACGGAGTGGGGGGGGGACAGACGGGCGGGAGACCAGGCGGGGGGCGGGGAGCAGACGGAGTGGGGGAGTGGGGGGGACAGACGGGGGGGGGGGGTAAGGAGAGTAGAGACAGAGTTGGGGGGACAGATGGGGGGAACAGACGGGAGGGGCCGGGACACCAGACCAGGGAGGAGCAGCGAGAGGGAGGGCAGCAGAGGAGGAGCAGATGGGGGGAGAGGAGGCGGAGAAGGGGGGAAGACGGGGGGGGGGCGGGGGGGGGGGGGTGAGGAGGGGAGTAGAGGGAGGGAGGTACAGCTAGGGAGGGGTGGGGGCACAGGGGGTTGGGAGGAAGGAGGGAGGAGCAGATAGAGAGGGTGGGAGGCAGATGGGGGAGGGGAGGAGAAGGGGTGGGGACCAGACTGGAGAGGCTAGCAGAGGCATGGGGAGCAGATGGGGAGGTGTGGGGGGATGGAGGAGGCAGTCGGGGTTGGGGAGGGGGCAGACTGAGTAGGAGACCAGTCTGTTGGGGGGGCAGATGGAGAGAGGAGGGAGTACCCCAGGGAATATGACATTGTTTATGAAAATCCAGGCAAGGCAGGAAAACTGAATTTAACTGCATTTTAGGAGTTGTGTGTCGGCCTTCAGCTCAGGTCATAATCTCGGGGTCCTGGGGCTCCCTCCCCAGCATGGAGTCTGCTTCTCCCTCTCCCTCTGCCCCTGTACTCTCTCAAGCTCCCCTCTCTATCTCAAATAAATAAAATATTTAAAAATAAATAAAGAGGGACGCCTGGGAGGCTCAGTGGTTGAGCGGCTGCCTTTGGCTAAGGATGTGATCCTGGTCCCGGGATCGAGTCCCACATCGGGCTCCCCACAGGGAGCCTGCTTCTCCCTCTGCCTGGGTCTCTGCCTCTCTCTCTGTCTCTCATAAATGGATAAAGTCTTTAAATATAATAATAAATAAATAAATAAATAAATAAATAAATAAATAAATAAAGCATTTCAGGGCAATGTTCCCTGGCCACAGAGAGGTAATGTCCTACAAAACACTGTCGTGGCTCATGGGCCACCAACCCACCCGCAGGTCTCATGCTTGGGTCCGGCTAGTTGTCATCCCTGCTCCTGCTCCAGGCCCTGCGAGGTTCTGTGACCTTGTCCATGACTGTGGGGGAAAGCCACCAAAATGTCCGAGCGGCCAAAGTCTATGTGTTTTTTTGTTTTTGTTTTTTTTTTAGATTTTATTTATTTATTCATGAGAGACAGAGAGAGGCAGAGACACAGGCAGAGGGAGAAGCAGACTCCATGCAGGGAGCCCGACGTGGGACTCGATCCCGGGTCTCCAGGATCAGGCCCTGGGCTGAAGGCGGCGCTAACCCGCCGAGCCCCCCCCCGGGCTGCCCAGTCTATGTGTTTTAACCCCAGGGCCCCCTCCAGCTCGCCTTTGTGTATCTCGTGTGCCACAAAAGTTAGGACCTTATCACCCTCATTTCCTCCCCATCCTCCTACCGTTTGACAATATCAGTGTTCACAACAGGACATGTTCTGTGACCTCAGTTTTAGGGAACAGGTCACGTGCCTCCTCAGCCCATCCTCCAATATTTACTCTATTTGGGTGTGGGGGCGAATGCTGGGGATGCAGCAGGAACGGGGGAGCCCCTGCCCCAGTGGAATCTATGTGTAAACACATGAAACGTGTAAGTGTGCAACGTTTGGTCGCCGGCAACCGCTGCAGCGGAGGAGACAGAGGGTGACAGAGGCTATTTTAATTTTAAATAAGACGGTCAAGAAAGATCTCTCTGAGGACGTGAGGTGTGAGCAAGTCCCAGAAGAGTGACACAGGACGAGAGGGAAGCATCTGCAAGGGTCCTGGGGCCCGGGAAGCACTGGGTTCTCCAGGAACAGCAAGGCGTGCAGAGGGCAGCGGGGGACTGGGCCCAAGAACCGGGTGGGACGTGGAAAGGCCTCTGGGGGCTAGTCTCAGTGTGTCATATTTGAAGGCCTTTGGAGGGGTGACGCAAAGGAGGCTCTCCGTTGTGTTTCAGACGGATTCTCTGGAGGCTGGAGGGACAGGAGACCAGGGAGAGGCAGGAAGAGAGGCGGGGGGGGGGGGGTGCTGAGGAGGCAGCGAGACCCAGCCGCACATAGGCTTCCCTGCAAGACCGGGACACCGGCCTCCGACTGGCCGACACACGTCCTTCCACTGTCGCTTTCCCCCTCTTCCTTTACAGAGCGGCCTCTGCTCTCGCTGCTTCTCTTCTACCCAAACATGTCCATCATGGGATCCCTGGGTGGCGCAGCGGTTTGGCGCCTGCCTTTGGCCCAGGGCGCGACCCTGGAGACCCGGGATCGAATCCCACATCGGGCTCCCTGCATGGAGCCTGCTTCTCCCTCTGCCTGTGTCTCTGCCTCTCTCTGTGTCTCTCTGTGTGACTATCATAAATAAATAAATTTTTTCAAAAAAAAAAACACTTTAAAAAACAAACAAACAAACACGTCCATCCTACAGAGGGCAAGACCCCGTCTTCTACGTGAGGTCTCCTGGCGCCCCCAGGAGTGAGCCCTGCGCGGTGACAGGTCCCCCGCTCACCTCTTCAGCCCTTCGTGGTACTGGGAGGCTCTGCCGCTGACTCTGCTGATGTTGCATCGGCGGCCGCGCTGCTAGGACGGCCACCGCACAATCCCACAGGCTCCAGAGTGGAGATTTATTTTCTCTTCTTCGGGTTCTGGAGACTGGAAGTTGTGAGCACGGTGACAGGCAGCCGGGACTCTCGGGGTCGCTCCCCTGGGCCGCAGGCTGCTGCGCCCGAGCATCTCAAGCGTCCCTGGCGTCTGCCAGTGTGGCCCGGTTTCCTCTGGCCTCTTTTGAAGTTGGCGACCTCTTGAAGGGCCGCTCTCCAAGTCATCTTCTGAGGTTCTGGGGTTTGGGGCCTCAACATGTGGGTGCGAGGGAATCAGTCCAGCCCCTCTGCGGGGTGGGGGCTGTAGTTTGATTCGGCGTCGCCCAGTGTCAGGACGGGAGCGAGCGGAGCTGGAGAGGTGACTGGCGTCGCCCAAGAGCCTGGCAGTGGAGCTGGGGGCAGGCACCCAGGGGTCCGGGTGGGCCGCTTCCGTGGAAGGTGAGCGGAGGCTGCCAGAAACCTTTCCCATCTCTCCCTTTCCTCTTTTATTTAATTAACATGAACCCCACGCAGCATGCGGCCAACCATCTTTGAACAATTCAGTGGCATTTGGTGCTGTCACGATGTCGGTGTCGTGCAAGCACCTCCTGTATCTACTTCCCAAACGTTCCCCTCACCCCCCGAGGGACACCCCACTCCAATTCAGCACCGCCCCCAGGGCCAGGCACCCACCCATCCTCATCCATCTCTACAGATTTACCTACTCTGAGCATCTCACGTCAGCGGAATGATAGGGACGTGGACTTGACGGCTGGCTTCTTTCCCATCCACGGCGGCGTGGCAGCTGTCAGAGCGCCTTTCGACGGATGGAGTCATTCCACTGGGTGGATAGAGCACATTTTGACTTTCCATCCTTTGTGGATTGACATCAGGTGCTTGCCACCTTTTGGCAATTCTGGATAAGGCTGCCGTGAACATGCACGTCTATGTATTTGAGTCCCTGTTTTCATGTCTTTGGGGCGCAGCCAACTCTTCACCCTACTTTGCTGGCTTCCCAGCTCTGACCACTATAAAAAATCACATATATTCACGTCTTTGTTGGCTCCCTTGATGACTTCCTCTTCACTCGAGGTGAGTTCCTGCTGACTAGGGTCTTCAGCCGCGGCTCAGCACGCTCCCTGACATAGATCACTGATCCACTGTCCGTCATCTATTGCATAATCGTACGTCTATTGTAAATCCGTTGTCACCATAAGTCTGTGAAGTGAGCTCCTCCAAAACTTAGTGACTTAACACAATGGCCAGTTACTACCCACCCACCCTGGTCCTGCCAGGGTCAGGAATTGAGGCTGGGCCCCGTTGGGTGGTTGTTTGAGTCTGGGCCCCGTTGGGTGGTTGTCATGTGGGAAGCTGGGGCGGGGAGCAGGGGCATGAAGCAAGAACGCAAATCACAAATCATCACAAAATATGGTAAGTCGTGTCCCAAAAGCCCCGGGGAAGAGGGGAGGCCCCTGCTTGCTGGGCAGGATGTGATCTGGAACTGGACGCAGGGAGATTTCGGGGGACGAACAAGGTCGAGGGCGCGAGAGCCAGCAAGCAGCCCATGAGGCTGGATTTTAAGGTGGTGGGTCAAGTGAGGAAGTGCCTGGGGTTCGAACGTCAAACAGAAGAAGCACCAGGGGGAGAGGATGGCGAAGGCAGACTGGGCACGTGGCATCGCACGGGAGGTTCCCCCTTTCTCCTGCCATGAAAACGTGCAGAGGGTCCCTCTGCGACCTCCAAATAGCCCGGCAAGCCAATGACTGCCATTTGTGTCACAACCTCCCACCTCCCAAAGCAACGAGGGAGGTATGGAGAGGTGTGTGCCCCTGTGTTCGAGCCCTGGCGTGGGTGGGGATCTGCTCGGAGCCTTCCCTCCCACTGCCGTCCAAGCCAAGGAGAGAGGACAGGACAGGGTCACAGAGCCTGGAGCAGCCCTGTGTGCGGGGCAGCTGCATGGCCCGGAGCCTTCAAGCACTAGGACACGTGACAATGGTTGTGACCAAGTCCTGCCCCTGAGAAGAGAAGCTTGGAAGGAGGGAGGAGCCCGCGTACCTCAAAACCAGGAAGGATGTGATCTGGCCAGTGGATCCTGTCTCATTCTTACAGGGAATAAGCTGGGGGTAACTGGCGTTTAACTGCTGGCCGGTCTCCCAGGATTATTTCTGTGATCCGGCTCTCAGGGGTGAGCTGATGGAGCGGACGCTGGACCTGCCAGGCCGAGGCCCACACTGGGGCCCTGCAGTGGCTGCCACCAGGTGACAGGGGACCCCACCCCCGTCATGCCTGCACAGGGCTTCAGGGAATCCACAGCAAGGCTGCAATCTGCGCTCAAGAAGAAGGATGGGCTGCGTCTCAACAAGCAGAAGCTGTCCTAAGCCTTAAAACGTGATGCCTCACATGATCGGGTCGTGACTGTGGCGCCCCGCTTCAGCTCACAGCCCAGCGGCCCTGGACCGCTCAGCTCACAGGGCGGCGGGGACACAGGGCGGCGGGGAACAGGCAGCGTGCAGCTGGAGACACCAGGGCGGGGACAGCACACCTGTCCTGGTGGAGGATGGAGGGCGGGGAAAGGAGCCCCCTGCTGTCCCAGGTAAGCCAGTGCCCTGGGGGCCTCCACCCCCCATTGGGAATGTCTCCACCTTGGAGGACCCTGGCCCCGGGTCCCACCCTGAGCCTGGCCGAGGGCTGGGGCTAGCCGGTAGGTGGACACCCAGAGGAGCTGACATCAGGATGGGGGTTTTACTGGCCAGGTGCCTTATCCTCACCCAGCACCTTGCTGTAGCTCTGAACCGTTTCCTACCCTGGCCCCTGTGCTCGCTGGGGGGGGGGGGGCGTGCTGAGGGCGGCACATGGCCAGCAGGCGGTGCCCGTTGGGGCCTCCACCTGTCCTGCCCAGCCCCCGCTGCTGCCTGTGGACTGGAGGGCTCTGCTCGGTGCCGAAGGCCCCCCTGCCCCCCCCTCCCCCCCCCCCCGGCTGGCACCAGTGGCCTGGCCTTATGCTCCTCCTGCCCGTTGGGGCCTGGGGGAGGGGGGGAATCCTCCTGTGCTCCAGGTGCCTAGTGAAGAGGATTCCAGGTGGAGGGGGCGCGCGGGTGCAGGCGGCTCGCTGCTGGTCAGCTGGCTTGGCGTGGAAGCCCTGCCTGAGGTGGGGCCACAGCGGCCTAGATCTCCCAGATTTCAGGGGCAGCCCTGCCTCTCCTCCCTGCAGGGGGACGACGGAAGTCTCCGCCCCACCTGCCTGCAGGTGGGAGGACTGAGAGGGGGTGGGGGGGGATTTGAAATTGAGATTGGCCATGTAGGGCCCAAGCGGGCAGACTTTCTCGAGGCTTCCGCAGACCCCAGCCGTGGGCCGCTCCTCCGCGGGCGGCCTCCTCTACTCCCCACACTTGGTACAACCAGCGCGGCCGGGCGCGGCCGGGGGTCCTGCTCAGGGCCAGCCCGGGCCCCTTCCGGCTGCCCCGCGAGCCCGGCGGACGCAGCTGTACGTGCAGCTCGGCGCTCAGAGCGTGGCGCCGATGGAGGGGTCCTGGCCGCTGCTGGCTGGCCTGACAGGGGACGCACACGGCACCGTCACCGGGGCCAGCCCTTCCTGGCGGGCCTCGGCCTCGTGGCGGGGTGGGGGAGCCCCCCTGGACTGGCGGGGTGGGGGAGCCCCCCTGGACTGATGCTCTGGCTGCCACGTGTCTGGGGCCCACGGCCTCCACGCTCAGGACAGAAGGGACGGGCGTGTGCTCGCGGTCACCTGCTGCCCAGGATCGCCTTGCTTGGCGTCCACCGTGAACGGGCCCTCTGGTGCCTGGCTGCGTGGGACACGCCCGCTGGAGCCTCCCCGGCCGCCCCCGGCCTCTGAGCCTCTTCCCTGCTGCCAGGCCCCAACACCTGGCCACCAGCAGGTCACCTGCCTGTCAAGTATCACGTTGTGCCTGAGGTCTCCCTGTCTGTTCCTCGTTCCTCCACAGGGCGCTGGGTGCCGGGCCCTCCCCGGGAGCAGCCCACTCACCTCACGCCGCCCGGGGCCGGCACCCCGAGAGGACCAGGTCTGGCGGGCAGGCGCTGGGGGCGACCCGGCCTCCCCTCTCCCCTTGGGAAGCAGCTGCCTGAAGTACCTGACCTTCCTGTTCAACTTTGTCTTCTCTCTGCTTGGTCTGCTGGCCCTGGCCGTCGGGCTCTGGGGCTTGGCAGTCAAGGGCCCCCTGGGGAGTGGCGGGGCGGCCCTGCCCAGAGACCCCATGCTGGGGCTGGCGCTGGGGGGGCTGGCGGTCGGCGCAGTGAGCCTGGCAGGCTGCCTGGGTGCCCTCTGTGAGAACGCCTGCCTGCTGCACTGCTTCTCTGGGGGTCTCCTCGCCTTCCTGCTGCTGGAAGCTGTGCTGGGTGCCCTGCTGGTGGCCCTGTGGGGCCCACTGCAGGACGGCCTGGAGTACACCCTGCGTGCGGCCATCGCCCACTATCAGGATGACCCCGACCTGCACTTCCTCATCGACCAGGTGCAGCGTGGGCTGCAGTGCTGTGGGGCATCTTCCTACCAGGACTGGACGAGGAACCTGTGAGTCCCAGAGGCCATGGGGCAGGCGCGGCAGGTGTGGGGGGCAGTCCCTGGCAGTCAGCAGGCCACACACGCGTACACCCACATGGATACAGTCACTGGCACACGCGTGTGCGCACACGCACATACACACACTCAGGCCCAGGCCAAGCTCCCCCTCGGGTTTTCGCCCCCTCCAACCAGGACCAGGTGGACAGGGATCTTAGTGGGAGGCTGAGCCCGCAGACTAGGAAGTGGGGAGTGCTTTCGGTGAGGTGGTCATGCAAAACGTCTGAATGTCAAGTGAACTTAGGCTCTTGGGGACATCACTGTGGACTCCACAGGTCTCCCTCCAAGGCGTGTGTCTGTGCATGTGGGTGTGTGTCTGTTGTGTGCATGCGTGTATCTGTGCATGTGTGCATCTTGCGTGTGCATGTGTCTCTTGTGCACGTGTCTGTGTGTGTGCATGTGTGTGTCTCTAGGTCTGTGTCTGCATGTGTGTCTGTGTGTCTGTGTGTCTGTAGGCATTGTCTATTTAGGAACACGGCACGGTATGTTTTTACATTCTGCTTGAGGACAACTGACACAAGTAGTGGAGTCATACAGACACCTGAGAACCAGCCACCAGTATCCAACAGTCACTAAAAAGTGCCAGGCATTTAGAAGCATCCACGTGGCCTTCTTGTTGGTGGGCCGTGTGTGACTGGACCGTGGCAGCCCCCGTGGTGTCAGGAAGGGTCCTTGCTTGGCGGGACCCACTCTTCCGGGAGACGAGAGCTTGTGTGTGAGGTTGGGCGGGGGCGAGCCTGCCTGTGCAGAGGCCGCCGCGTGCAGGACAAACCGTAGGAAGCGGGGCATCGAGTGCACAAGCCCGCGTGCCTGCATGTGAGTGTCTGTGTGGCCGTGGCGGTTTGAAGGGCAGGTAAGGGGCACCCGCCTTGGCACCGGGCCCCGCACCTTGGGCCCCGCCCGCAGACTGAGGCCCCTGCGCCCTCACAGGCACTTTAACTGCAGCTCCCCGGGAGCCCAGGCCTGCAGCCTTCCCGCCTCCTGCTGCATCCGCCCCAGGGAAGACGGGGCGGCCGTCAGCGACCCGTGTGGCCTCGGAGCTCTGGGCCTGGACGAGGAGGCCGCTCAGAGGGTGGTGCATCTGCAGGGCTGTGGCCCCCCGCTGCGAGGGTGGCTCCGCAGGAGCGTCCAGGCCGCCGGCGTCTATGTGGTCGCAGTCGTCGCAGTCCAGGGGGCCGAGCTCCTGTTGGCTGCCCAGCTGCTGAGGGCCCTGGCGGTTCGCAAGGGGGCGCTGCAGAGCCCCAGAACCGCAGGGACGGGGGCGCCCAGGGAGAGGCTCCCTGCCTAAGTGGCCCGGCTGGCCCAGGGCTCACAGCCCAGCAGGACACCCAGGGAAGGCGTCGAGTCACCATGCATGGCCGAGACCCCTGGTCTCCTCCACCTGCTGTGCCTCCTGCCCCCCAGGGCCCCTTTCTCTGAGGACAGGGCATGTCCACCTCCTTCCTGGTTCCCTCAACCCTGCTAGGGCGAGCCCCCTGCCACCACCTGATGTCACACTCTTTTGGAGACTTTTGTCCTCAGCCCCTGAGCCAGGCATGGCCCCCGCCCCACCCCGCCCACAGCGCCGAGGCCTGGTAAGCCGAGCCTCCCCCCCCCCCCCCCCGCACGGCTGCGGGGATGCGGGGCCTGGCCAGTGGGGAGGGCACGTGGCTGCCGAGACTGGATGACCCCCTGTCAGGCCTCCACCTCTCTGCCCTGACCGTCACCTCCGACCCCCGCCCGAGGCTCTAAGCCCCCCAGATGCCTGCCGCTGAGGCCCAGCCCTGTGGCCCCGCTCCCCTACCACCGGCCGGCCCTTTCCGGTCCACTGTAGTGGCCAGAAGCAAGACCCAGGCGGGAATAAACTTTGGTGAGATGCATGGCTCATACGGTAAATGGCACCAGTCTCAAGTGGGCAGCGTGGGGACTCTTCCCGACGTGAACACGGGGACCCGAGGCAGGGTCAGGGGCCCACGGCAGCGGGCTGCTCTCCCTCCTCCCCGTGGCCACCCCGGCTGGCCTTCAGCGCCTTCAGTTACCGTGAGTTTTTCTGGCTTTCACATAAATGGGATCACAGAGAGCCCTTGCCAAGAATCACCGTCTGGTCCCTGCGGGATGAAGACACCCCACAAATGCCCCTGGTCTATGTGGACACACACTTGGGTGGCTTCCAGGTGGCAACTGCTGCTGGGGACAGTTTTACTAGGCCTGTGTGTGCAGGTGCGCCCGATTCCCCAGGGTGCGGCGTCCAGGTGCGGGGGGACTGCGGGGTCACTGGTGGGCACCTGTCCAGCCGCAGTGGACATCCAAGGTCGGACTGGCTGGGCCACTCGGCTGACTGCCCACTCTCCCTGCACCTGTCCCCTCACCTGGGCGGCAGGGCTGCACTCTCCTCCTCCCAGCCTCACCAGTGCTGCCCGGCCCCCGACCCCTGGCCCCTGACCCCCACCACCCCCCGACACCCAACGGCCAGGCTCTGCATCTAATGGGTCTCCCTCCTTCATGGCCTGGCCAGGGCCCCACTGCCCCCAGCACCTTCATCCATACAGACCTGCACCCTCCAGCCCTGCCCCCCAACATACTCCAGACAAGCGAGCGGGGGCCACACTAACTTTACTCTGAAACGGGGACAGCAAGCATGGGCCATGCTGGACAGGATGCTTCTTGCTGCTGTGTTGGCTCGGAGGGCTGCTGCTCTGAGGCCGCCGGGACCCCCCCCCCCGCCCTGCCCACTCAGCTCAAGGGCGCCAGCTGGGAAGACTAGTGAGGGGGGCTCGTCACTATACTGAAGGAGGGGAGCGGGGTGTGATGGACATTCCTGGGACACCTGCCTGGCCTTCCTGCCCTAAGAGAAGGTCTGTGGGCCGGTGTTTGTGGAAGTGAAGCAGGGCCCGAGGGGTCCTGCAGGGAGCTGGTGGGCTTTTGGTAATGGGCGTCTGGGGGCTGAGGCTGCCACCCTGCCAGGGTCTCCAGACACACACCGGGCAATCTGGACACCGCGGGGGGCCGGCCTCCTCACAGGCACCCGGAGCATGGGGCGGAGTGGGCGGCAGGGGCCCTGGCCCCGAGCCTCTGGGTCAGGCTCTGGCGCTAGATGATGCCATACTGGGCCAGCTCATGCAGCTCCAGGTGGTTGAAGGCCTCCCAAGGACAGATGACCGTGATGTCTGCAGGAGAAGGGACGGGGCATCAGGGGGGTCGTGGCCCTGTTGTCCACGCCCAGAGGTCCTCCTCCCAGGGTGTCGAGGGAAGCGTACGGGTGCAGCACGCCAGGGAGGTGAGAGGACAGCGAGGGCCCCTTGGTGCTCTCCGGCACCTCCAAGTACCCGGCGAACCCACTGAAAGGAGCGGCCCCTCGGTGAAGCTAAAGCTCGGGGTTGGGGCAGAGGACAGACAGGCTTGGGGCGGTGCCCTAGGTAAGCTCTGGCTGGAGACAGCACAGGGAGGACGGGGCCCCAGGCCCACGGCCCGCGGGAGAGTTGGGGGATCTGGGAAGACCCTAGAAGCCGTCATACCTGTCCCCAGGCCTTCCATTCCAGGGATGTCGTCCCCAAACCTGCAGGACAGAGTGGTCAGGGCCAGTGGCCAGGAGGAGGGGAGTGGGGGTGCGTGCGGGGACCCAGGCTGGTGCGGGGGCTGTGGCCCAGTCACTAAGGGGCAGTGAGTGTGGTCCTCAGGGGGACGGTGCCAGGGGGCCCCGAGCCCTCCCACCTCCATGCTGAGGAATGAGGGGCACCACCCCAGCCTAGTAGGATGGTGGGACCGACCTCAGCCAGGAAAGGGTGGCCGGGCTCCCTGCTCTGAGGGGCCACCCCCCCCAATTCCTGTGTAGCCTGCGGCTGGGCCCCTCCACCAGGTCAGCTTACCCTTGGACGCCTTTCTTGGGGGGCTTGCTCTTGAACTGCCTGGTTTGCCGCTGCTTAAATTTGGGGGGCCCTTTTCTGGGAGTGACGGGCCCCCCAATCACCCTGGTGGCCGACCGGATCTCGGCCTTTGGTGGCTCCAGGTTCATGGCCAGGTTGGCAGAGAACCCACGGCGATGTCTGGCTTCTAGACTCCCTCACGCTGTGGGCTGGGGGCACACCAGTCAGCCCCCCTGCGGCTGCCCCCCTTGCAGGTCTCAACCAGCTGAACAGAGGAAGTCCTGGAACAGGAGACCCAGGGGGCCCTGAGCATGACCCCAGCAGGAGCCGCCGGCCAACTCCATGTGGGGCTCCACCTGGGGTCAGGCAGGGGGAATGAGGCTCCCAGCTGCACCCCCTCGGGAGTCTCCCCTTCTGCGTTCTCCACCCACAGCAATCCCTGGGGGCGGGGACACCCAGGGTCATTCCTGGTGGCAGGGCACCTAGCAGTGCCAGTAACAGTCAAGGGAGAATTGGAGGGCAGGGTGCCGGGCAGGGAGGGGCCTGTCTGGGAACCAGTCCCGAGCTGAGCTGCGCAACTGTCTCCCCACCCCCACCCTGCAATCTCTTCCCTCTCCTGGCAAATCCGCTGGCCACTCACTGGCTCAGACACTGCCTTGGGCAGCAGTGTGTCAGCTGCGGGTGTCCCTGAACCCACTGCACAGGGTGACCTCCCCTCTGCCTCTCCCTGGACACCCTAAGCCCCACTGACCCTGCTCAAGGGCAACTCGGCTTCCCCTAAGCCTATTAGCACCAGAGGGTGACTCTAATCTCTCAGGGCTGCTGTGAGCCTAGAAGGTTCCGGGGGTAGCTCATGACACAGACAGGAGCCCCTCGCGCCAGATGCCCAGGCACCACCCCTTGGGCCCTCTCTGCAGTGCCTGAGCGCAGCCTCGGGCCACCACCAGCTGCTGGCTACAGCATCAGGGCTGAGACCAACGGGCGGGCGAGGACAGGCGGTCCCACCGGGGGAAGGCTGCACCCCACATGACCCTTCCTCCCTGGGATGTGTCCTCTGTGCCAGAACCTGCACCAGCCCAGGAGGTGCACGGGGTCGGGGTCCACGGCGGCCAGCAGCAGGCCTGGTGGTCCCAGCTGCTCTGGCCCCTGACGCCCGCGCCCCCAGCCCAGGTGGTGTAGGGCCAGCCGGACCCCTCCACCTGCCCCAGGCCACGGGCCCGGTGTGCACACCCCAACCCGGACAGGACGGCTACTCTCAGATGCCGGCCTCGTGCAAACCACCATCCAAGCTCTCCCAGCTGCCCCAGCCCCAATCCAGTCTGCGGCCGATGCCCACTTGGGTTAGCTGAGAGGGTGGCCCTGGGGACTGCCTGCAACCATCACCTGATACAGGGGAGCCGAAGGTGACTGGCTGGGAGCCTCTCTGGATAGGACAGACCTCAGTGTGGCGGCGAAACGCCCAACTCCCCACCCTCTGCGCCTCGGGTAAGTGGCAGTCAAGACGGGCCACTGGGGAAGGTCACTACTCACCAAGCCCTGGGCAGGTCTCAGGGCCACGGGTGTGAGTGGCCAGGTATCCCCCAGCAGGGCGCCGGCTGACCATTTATCCACCTTCTGGGTAAGCTGATTAGGATTGTCCCCTGACCCTACACTAATAAGATTGTCTGGGGCCACTCAGGAGGGTGAGGGCATCACCACGGAGGATTTAGGAAACAAGGGAAGGGGCCCGGGTGCAGTCAAGGGCTCCAAGGAACGATGAGGCTGGGCGAGGTCAAGACAGGGATGGGCTGTGCCATCACAACCACCGGAGAACGGCAAGACTCTGCTAAAGCTGCTTGTCTTCGAAGCGAAGAACAAACTGCGCTGGCTCTTGTCTTGGGACCCCCCCACTTTGTCCTCTGACCTTCAAAAAACCTGTCTTCACAGCCCCCAGCGTCCTGTGTAGTCGGGCCACTATCTACTCCTTTGGCCTCACCTTCTCTCCCTCCCCTCGCTCTCTACGCTCCCAGCCCCTTTTCCACCGCAGGATCTTTGCATCTGCTGCACCGTGTACCTGTCTCATTGCCTCAGCTCCCTCTTCCTGGGGCCTCAGAGCGCTGCCCAGGGGTCACTTCCTCAGGGCGACCCCTCAGGATAGACCAGGATGCCTATTTCATAGGGACTCATGGAGGCTAGAAGTCCTTCACGTTTACAGAGTTGTACACCTGGATGACGCTCGTGTTGACCTGTCTTCCACGTCAGAGCAGCACGCAGCAGCCGTTTCCAGTAGACCCCAGCTTCTAGCCCAGCGCCAGACACGACACAGGTGGTCAACCAGGCCCGTGACACAAATGAATGAACAGACAAGACCCATACCTGGGTGATTCTGGGCGAGCCTGGAGCTGGCACCTCGGGCATCCCCGACTCCTGTGTGCTACGTGTCAGACGAGCTCGCCTGGCTGCAAGGACAAGGCGGCTGCCCTCTGGGGACATCTCACACCGCACAGCACTCTGCTGTGACGCTTGCTTTCCGCAGTGGGGCTAATTTAGTGGGATCCTCCAGATGTGCACCTGCACACACGGACAGGTGTGTACAGAAAACCTCTGCGTCTCGGAGGTAAGCCACGGCCTCATGGAGCCTCGGAGCCCACCACGCATTGCTGTGCTGCTGTCTCTGGGGAAAGTCTTTCCCTTTCTGGGACATTTTCTTTCTTTCTTTTTTTTTTTTCTGGGACATTTTCGAACTTGTAGGAGAATGGGTTAAACGGGCAGCTCTCTGAGATACAGCCTAATAGAGCTTGTGTCACCATAAGCCAGATTTCTTGGGCAGCCCGGGTGGCTCAGCGGTTTAGCACCACCTTCAGCCCAGGGCGTGGTCCTGGAGACCTGGGATCGAGTCCCACGTCGGGTTCCCTGCAGGGAGCCTGCTTCTCCCTCTGCCTGTGTCTCCGCCCCTCTCTCTGTGTCTCTCGTGAATAGATAAAAAATAGAATCTTTTAAAAATAAATAAACCAGATATCTCTGAACCATCCAAAGCCCCCTTTCCGGAGGGCACGTAGCTGTCCAGAAAGACAGCCTGAACCACAGGCATCTGACGAGGCACCGCGTTTTGCTTCCATTCTCTCGCCCACACATCTCTATGGAACTCGCTAGCTTTATGTTAAAGCTCCTCCCTGGGAAGGCCTGTTTACCAGCTCAAACCCATCATGGATTTATGCTTCAACCTTAGCTTTTCCTTTAGATGAGAGAAAACACACACAAGGTCCTTGGCCTCTGCTCCATCTAGGCCACTGGTATGAGCGCCTGGGCTTGCTGGGGGAGGGAGATAGGTGGGGTTAGTTCCATGATGGGGGTGAGCGGGAGGTGGAGATGGGCAGTGGGGGCCCAAAGATAAAGTTCTTCCTGGGCTCAACAGTCCTGTGGCCAGGTCTGCAGCTGAGGACCAGGCTAGTGCCAGGAGGCTGATTCTAGGGCTGATGCCGGAGGCCTCCGGGTCCTTACAGTTGCCTCGATGGTCATGGCTAAGTGGGATGGAGGGCTGGAGGGTCAGGCCCCTGCGGGCTGATGCACAGCCTTCTACCTGGCTGCTGAATGGGGTGTCTCCCCAGAAGCCCTGCAGCTGGAAGAACGGACCCTTCCCAGGCTGCCTACCGGGGTTCCTGCCTGCCAAGGGCTTTGCCAATGGCAGCTTCATGGGACTGAGTGGTCCTCCCTCCGCCACTGAGAATAACCAGAGCTGACCTCGGGGCAGGACTCCTGGGCTGCGGGGGCATGGAAGGGGGCTCCTGGGGTTGTTGTCATGCGGATATTCAAAGCAATGGATCTTACTTCACTCGTATAGGTTGGTGAAAGCTGTAGGCTGACGACAAAACTTGGATGGCAACCCGAACCTGCTTTCTTTGACAACGTAACTTAAGCCTAAGAGGACAGCACAGAAACCTCCCGTCCAACCACCACAAGAACTTATTTATTCTCAGATAAAGTCAGTAAATGATGCTTCCTACTGCCGTCTGACACCTGCCACGTGAAGGGCCGAGAAAAAAGCTCCGTGTTGCTGCCTGTGGAGGAGCCGTCTGGCTGGAGCCTGTGTGGGTGTTCGGGCGAGTCGGCTCAGCCTCCACTCCTCACTCGGAGCTGGATCTCCAACCTGAGGAAGGCCTTGAGGTTCTGGTCAGCCACGTGTTCCTCCAGGGCAGCGAGGGCGTGCTCCCCACCATCCTGGTAGTGCTGCAGCAGCGCACCTGCGTACTCCACCCACACGCAGTTGGGGCAGCCACTCATGCAGCAGTTTGTGGGGGGCTGGAGCTCAGGGGGAGGGGGATACCGGGCTTCTGCCGGGCCTGCACCGGGCAGGGAGGACTTGGGCTGCCTGGTGCCATCTGCACCTGACGGACAGCCCCCCTCTGCGTGGTCCTTCCCAGACTCTCCGTGGCCGTCACGGACCTGGATCCGGGCCTGAGGCCTGTAGAGAATGCTGCTGCCTCCGGGAAGCCTTGGGCGCGGGTCCCAGCTGCAGAGTGGCCACGGCCCCTAAGAGGACAGATGCTCGTGAGGCCTTGCCTGCCCCCAGCTCTGGGGGAACTGGCAGGGGGCTCCAGGTGGTGCGTCTCTGCTTCCTCATTTCCCGAGACCTGAGACAGGTTACTTCGCCTGCAGACTCGGTTTCCCCTCCGTGACACGGATGTAAGGGCCGGGCAGACGCTGGGTCAGGGACAGGCAGTCGGTGCACACTCCAGCAGGTGCGGGGGGCGGGTAGGTGGCACCCCACCGTGGGCAGAAATGGGGGCAGGGTGGAAGTGGCTCCTCCCTCCCCCTACCAGGCTGGGCCGTCCTGACCGGCGGCGCCCCCGCGGCCCTGGCCTCCCCCAGGTCACCGCCCAAGGCCCCGAGGGCAGCCCCCTCCCCCCAGAGGCACGGCTGCGCCCTTCTGTGCCTCCTCCGGCCCGGGCCGCACGGTCCTCTCCCCTGCTCTGCCGTCTCCGGGCCCTCGACCCCCGCCGCGCCGCCCCGGCCTCACTGGCGCGAGGAGCAGGAGCGCGGGTCCCCGGCCTCCCGCACGCGCCCGCCGGTACTTGCCGCAGCGCGCGCAGCAGCAGCCGCCGACCGGCCTCCCCCAGCCAGGCTCCGCAGCAGCATCCTCTGCGCACGCGCGGCGGCCCCGCCGGCGGCGTGACGGGCAGCCACCCTGGCCAATGGGCGGCGGGCTGAGCGCAGGAAGCGGAAGTGGCGGCGTGGGGCGGGGCCCGCGGAAGGGCGGAAGTGCCTTGGCCCGGGAGCGCCCGGCGTGGGGATGGCGGCGGCTCGCCGCGGAGGGGCTGCGCCCGTGGGCCCGGGGGGTCCGGGGCGGCCGCAGGGGCGGCAGCCGCCGGGGAAGCAGCGCTCAGCGCCGAGGCCCGGGCCGCGCAGGTGGGTCTCAGCGCCCGCGCTCCCTGCCCACCCCGCTCTGCCCGGGGGGCGGGCGCGCCGGAGGATCGGGGGCGGGGGGGGCGGAGGCTCCAGGGTCTCCGGCCCGGCACTAGGCAGCTCCCTCCCGCCCTCCTGGGCCAGCGCCTGCGAGAACCCAGCGCAGGGGCGGCCCCCGGGCAGGAGGCGCCCTCGCCGGGCCCGCACCCCAGCAGCCAGGCGGCCTGCCGGGGCCCTTGCCAGCCCAGCTTCGGCGCCTCTGACTCCGCCTATGCCGAACCTAGCTCGCGTCCCACCCTCCTATTCTCGCTCCAGAAAAGAAAAGAAGAAAGTGAATTGCAAGCCCAAGAACCAGGATGAACAGGAAATCCCCTTCCGCCTCCGAGAGATTATGAGGAGCCGCCAGGAGATGAAAAATGCCACCAGTAACAGGAAGAGGAAGAGAGAAGGTAACGTGCAGGCCCGGGCGGGGCGGCCATGCAGCTGTGTGTGTCCCAGTCCCCAGCTGCCTGGATGTGCACCCGGGCTTCAGCAGAAGAAACCTGCCAGCACGCGGTGGTCCGAAGGCGCAGGAAGGAGCACGTGGGGCTCTGACCAAAGGCTGGTGTCCCCAGGGCCAAGGAGGTGGCTGGCAGCAGGTGGCAGCGTGGTTTCAGATGAGGCTTTTTTTTTTTTTTTAAGATTTTTATTTACTTATTCATGAGAGAGAGAGAGGCAGGCTCCATGCAGGGAGCCCGACGTGGGACTCGATCCCAGGACCCCAGGATCACGCCCTGGGCTGAAGCCGCTAAACCGCTGAGCCACCCGGGCTGCCCTCAGATGAGGTTTCGACAGAGCCCTCCTGTAAGGATTGTTGATTCCCGCCCCCCAAACTAGCAGAGATCCATCCGAAGGGATGATGGGTTCAGATGTACTTTGAGAAACGATCTCTGAAACAATTGAGGGCTTGGGCAGGGCAGGCCCGTGAGGCTGTTGCAAAGTGATGGTGGAGAGAAGTGGCTGTTTTCCAGAAGTGAAGGAGGGAATTGGTGAAACCCCGCCCTCCCCGGAAAAGCTTACCTTTCCAACCCCTCACTCAAGGCTGGGTTGGGTGCCCACCTGTCACCCTCTGCCAGAGAGGACACTTGGAGAAAGGAGTCCGGCTTGTTGGTGTTTTGCGCATATACGTTTGTCTTCTCAAATATGAGATTGTTTTTACATCGATTTTTTTGTAACCTTCTGGTTTTTCATTGGAGGTATACGGGTATAAAGAGATAGCGACAGAGGCAGGGAAGGTGGGAAGTACAGTCGGCGTACTGGCGCCAGTGGAAGGTGGCACGTTTTGAACTGTGCTTTACTGAACTGCCTCCTGGTTTGGGTTATTTAAGACCTACAGTCACACACAGTGGTGAAAGGTATGAGGTACGGCATAGCGCCCCTCCCTGTCTCTGAATCCTGCTCCTCCGCCTGAAACAAAGCACTGTTCATCCTCCCGTATACCTGCCGCAGAGAAATACCACGCAAGTTCTCATGTATCCATGATGGAAAAGCTTCGTGTTCCTTCTGTGCATTGGTTAACATTCTGGGTTTGTGCGGTGAATCGTTACATAAACGGGGTAGTGATTCACCGAGTCCCCTGTTGACTAATGTTTAGGTTATCCGCTGTTTTCCTTTTGAACGGAGCTGTGGTGGACGTCTTTGATGCCCAGCAGTGGGCGTGTGGATCCCTCCGCGTGGCTGCCTGAGCTGGGCATCGCAAATCCTCTCTAGCTCCCGTGGTTGGGCTGCCCCCACTCACTGGAGTCAGGTCTTCCCTGTGGCTCCGTGCAGGGACAGGAGCATGGAGCCGCCAGCACCACAGCCCCGACATCTCCCTTTGTCCTCAGCCCAGGTGGCCTTCAGAAAGACACTGGAGAAGGAAGCCAAGGGAGTGGAGCCGGACATCGCGGTCCCCAAATTCAAGCAGAGGAAGTGGGAGTCTGACAAGGCCTACGTCCAGCGAATGGAGCAGGAGGCCCAGCACGTGCTCTTCCTCAGCAAGAACCAGGTGGTCCGGCAGCCTGAGGTGCAGGCGGCTCCCAAAAAGGAGAAGTCGGAGCGGAAGAAAGCGTGAGTAGGGGTGAGGTAGGGATCCTGTGACTGTTCTCTGTGGTGACCGTGTTTTCTTGCTGGGGGACCAGCACCCCACCCCACGACTCAGGGGGAGCACAGAAGGAAGTGAAAACCTGGTTGGTTGCTGAGCATTTTTCTCTCCGTCAGAGCTTCTTAACCCTGGGGGTTCGGGGAGCCTCTGAATCCACAGAACTCGTGGCCTAGCTTTGTCTTTGCCTTTCTCATCAAGGGGGCCCAAGGGCCAGTTGCAATGGGGGAGAGGGGGGAGATAAGGCTGATGCTCCCTCAGGAAGGCTTGCTGGCTCCTGGGGGACCGTGGCTGCCCGCTGGAGATGGGTACTGCAGGTGGGGGATCCCACGCGGCTATGGGGCTCCCCCGCTTCTGCCTGGCTGATGCCACCTCCGAGAACCTGATCTGGGGTCGTTTCCCTGAAGTTGGGGGGCCTTCAGCTGTGACCTCTTTCGGTTCCAGTGCCTCATCTGTAAAGTGGGGATACTGGCATGTCCAGCGGGGGCTCGGGTGAGATCCTTGCAGGGTTCCTGAGCGTGGCATCCGGCACCAAGAGGGAGCCTACCACCAGCTGTAGCTCCTCTGCCCCCCAGCCCTGTAGAAGCCTGGGAAGGAAGCCATGGGCCGCCTCCCTGAGCCTGTGGGCAGGGGCTGGGAGGTGGTTTCTTTTTTCTTTTATAGATTTTACTTGTTCCTGAGAGACACAGAGAGCGGCTGAGACACAGGCAGAGGGAGAAGCAGGCTCCCTGTGGGGAGCTCGATGTGGGACTCAAGCCCAGGACCCCGGGGTCACACCCCAGGCCAAAGGCAGATGCTCAACCACTGAGCCACTCAGGCACCCCACGGGAGGTTGTTTCAATAAAAAAAGAGCTTTTTGAGATGTTTCTGCCATAACTCTGTTTTTGAGATGAGCTGCTCCAAGCTTTGTTTAACAGCTGTGAGGGTTGGAGATGGTCTGCAGCCTCCTGGGGCTGCCTGCACCCGAGCGCTCTCCATACTGGTAGTCAGCTCGAGTGACAAAAAGTACGTCACAGAAAACTGTCCCACATGCCACCTAGAGCCGCAGCGATCTCCTGAACACAGCGCTGCTCTGTGAGACCATTTAGGTGCAGCAGCACAATCCACATGTGGGGCCAGTGAGTCTCGGGGTGGGGATGGGGGGCGTTGTATACAGCACGGCCAGCAACAGCCTCGTCTCTACCCCTGAGGTGCCAGGAGCACCCCACCCATTGTGACCACCCAGAATGTCTCCAGGCGTGGTCAGGTGTGCCCTAGGGAGCACAGTGTCCCCCACTGAGAACGTGGACTTGGAACTCTGGGGCCTGCTGTTCAGAGCCCTCTCGGGCGCATGGCTGTGGGTGCAGGTGGTTGCCAGAGTGGGGACTTGGCAGCAGCTCGCTGGGCTCTGCTGTGGGGCATCCTCCTGGACAGGGGTGACCTCTGCTTTGAGTCTAATGAGGTAAGACTTTAGGAGTCTGAGCAGCATTGTGCTTTCTTCCTCAGGTTCCAGCAACGGCGACTGGATAAAATCCGGCAGAGGAGGGAGGAGAAGGCAGCAGAAAGGCTGGAGCAGGAGCTGCTCCGAGGTAGCTCTTCCTGGGCACCTATGTGTCGGCAGGGTTGGGGGGGTGGCAGGCGGCCGTTGGGTGGCCGGGTCCTGGGGGCCTGGGGGCAGAGGTTGCATGGGCAGAGGCATCAGTGTGCTCCTCTTTCCCCCCAGACCCAGTGAAGTTCGGTGAGGTGGCCCTGCAGCCCCCAGAGCTGACTGCCCAGCCCAGGTCGAGCGCGAGCAGGGGCCAAGTAAGTAGGCCTGGTCGGGAGCCTACGTGGAATGCCACGTTCTCACCAGGCGTACAGCTGTTGGGCCAACACGGGTTCTTCGTTATCTCCCCTCCTTCCTGAACCTGGCCTCAGTCTTCCATCTCTGTTCTTTAGCCTGGGAAGAAATCGCTGATGCTGAGGAAGCTTTTGAGCTCTGGTGGCGTGTCCCAGCCTCTGACCACGTCACTGGCCCGACAGCGGATTATTGGGGAGGAGAGAGAGCGGGCCGTGCAGGCCTATAGGGCACTGAAGAAGCGGCAGCAGCAGGGGACTCAGTCACCACAGCCACCCCACCTCGCTTCCAGGAAGAAGGCAGAGATGTGTCTGTGACGGCAGGACCAGGGCCTCCACGCCTGTGTGGGGGAGGACGAGTAGACGGCCTGGAACACACACTGGGACTCTCAGGGCCCCCATGGACTCGCTCTCTGGTGCAGAAGGCTCCAGGCCTTTTCTCTCGTTTTTTCTCCTTAGGATGGCTCTCCTGTGAGTGACCGTCTGCTTGTGTGTCCGAAGTCCCCATAGAGTGGCCAGCGGCTGTTTGGGACACAGTCGGGCACACCTAGCCTCATTCCCCTGAAGCTGGCATCACTCACAGCTTTGTTCTGAATACTCAGGTCCAGGCTGAGATAATCAGGGCTACTTTAGGGAGGACAGTCCTTAAACGCCAGTCCACTGGAGAGACCATGCTCGCTCGGCCGAATTTAACTGAAGCTCTGTGGGGCTGAACAGCACAGTATGGCGGGAAGCACAGGCCAGGCAGCGGGTCGGGGTCCGCATCCCTACAGAGGCAGGTGGAGCCCACCCAGGCTCTCACTGGGGTACAGAGACTGATGGCACCACCCACACCTAGTGGGTTTGAGAGGAGGTTGGGGAAAGAAGAGGTATGAAGCCGTGTGATGGCAAGGACAGAACTCTGGCCCAGGTCCTGCCTGTGGTTAAAAAAAGGTGATGTTGGAATTCCTGCCAACCACAGGGCCTGGTGAGGTTTGACCCTTCCACCAGAGCCGAGGGAGGGAAGGAGGGAGGGCGGGCGGGCACGCATGCCCGGACAGCAATGTGCTTAAGACCTTAAGGGGAGAGTCCTGCTGCTCCTACCCTGGTGAGGACAGCACCTGGCTCTGCTTGGCCTCGCCAGCTCCGGCTCTGTAGCTGGCAGACGTGGGCCTGGACAGTCCAGGAAATGCTCTATCTCAGCCTCGGCCAGGTGGCCCTACACAGGCAGTGTGCTCTGTGGGATCCTTCTTTTGCCCTTGTTTGCATCTTTTTTTTTTTAATTAAAAACCTGAGTTAAAAAAAAAAAAAAAAAACAAACTTGAGTTGAAGTTGTATTTGTGCTCAGGGGTGTCTTTCTGTGTGGTGGGGGCCCTGTCCTACATCAGGTGACCAGGAGTGCTGGGCGCCCTGCAGCAGCCAGGACTCATGCCAGCTCTCCAGTGGCAGTGGGGTGGGCAGCACGCCTGCTCCTTCAGTGGCTGGCACCCTTTCTGCAGTAAGATTCCAGGACGTGGCATAGTGGCAAGACCAGGACCGAACGAGTCCCTGAGAAACGCCCATGCTCCTGGACGTGTTGCCAAGCGTGGCACTAAAGCAGGAAGATGGAAACAGGTTGTGGCTGGAGGAGGTCTGCCTTTCACACCAGGTTCGCCAGTCACATGACATATGGAATCCTCTCAGGCCTGTCAGAGTGTCCCCAAAACTCAACAACTTGGCCCGGGGTGGCTTTATCATGAGATGTCACCAGGTGTAAAGTTTGAGGTGAAGCCTGTGCCGGGGGGCCAGCCCCTGAGAGATGGTGCCCAGACTGAGGTCACCCCAAAGACAGAGCCAGGTGCTTGTCTCCTGAGTGCACGGTGTGTAACTGAAGCGGGGCGGGGTGGGGGTGGTGGGTGAAGGCTGGGGACTCTGGGTGCCAAGTTGTCTGAAAGCCACAAGGACTTCATCCTGGGGTGGAGGCCATTCACACCCAGGGCTGCATGGGGTGATTCACGGGCGATTCACGCAGTGACGCAGCACACAGTGATCCCAGGCTTTCCAGAGAGGAGCACGTCCACGGGGTGGGTGGGGGGCAGAGACTCAGCCCCAGGGGCCCCGCAAGAGCTTCTCGGAGGCATCCAACTCCCGCATACAGACCCTGGCAACGAAGTAGCCAAGTGGAAACTGCGGCTGAAGCCTGTGCCCCGCTCTGCACGCCCGGAGGCCCTACTAGCCTCACCCGCCAGCTGAGCTGAAGGAATCCATCTGTAGGAAACACCACCACACCCAGGAGCGGAGGGCTCAACCCCAAGCACAGTGGGCTGAACAGCAGCCCTGAGAACACGTCTCACTGTAATCCTGGAGACATGCAAGCGTGACCTTATTTTGACAAAGGATCTTTGCAGATGCAACTAGAGATCTCTAGATCATCCTAGATTTAGGGTGGGCCCTAGATCCAGTAACGGGTCCCTATAAGGAAAGAAGGCCACATGCACAGGCAAGGATTCTAGTTCCACAAGTCACAAGCCAAGTTCTATGGAGAACCGCCAGCAGCCACTCGAAGCCAGAAAAGCAGCAAGGAATGCATTCTCCCTCACAGCCTCTAGAAGGAACCAGCGCTGCGGACACCTTGCTGTTAGTTTTTTGACCTCCAGGACCATGAGCATAAATTTAGGTGGCTGTGAGCCATCAAGTTGGTGACAATTTGTTACGGAGGCCCTAGGACATGAATACACCCGACAGGTGTTCTGCAAACCCCTCAGCTGACATCAGGATGAGCTTGCCAGGACCTCCTGCGCTCTATCAGAGCCGCCCCCACGCTCGCCTACCCGTGGGACCCCGATGCCCTCCTGGGCACACAAGTGCATTCGGCACATGAACTAATGAAAACACTGTTCTCGTTTTGACTCCAGGCTCGGTTCTTTCTATGACAGCGGCCTCACACAGTGGAGGTCATGTCATCGGCATGTCAGAAACTCGTGGGTACAATCTGTACCACAGTCAAGAAACCAAGTCTGTGGGGCTGTGCAGCGCAAACACCTCTGGGGAAGCAGAGCAGTCCTGATGGGAAAGGAGTAGATTCCAGGACGGCAGCAGGACACCCAGCCACCCTGCAAGCCCGGCTTCCTCTCCCTGCCATGGGGACAATTTTTTCATTCAGAGGCCAGCTATCAGGAGTCTCTGTAACTAGGGTGCCTCAGTTTGCCCATCACTGCAACTCAGGCCAGGAGCCCCCTGGCTTGTGTTGGGTCATCCTGTCCCTGATGAGTAGAGATCGCTGGAGGCCGAACGGTGCTATTCTCTGCCTCCTCCCCGGAGCCAGCCTGTCACACTTCTGCTCCAGGTGGTCAGCGGTTGGGCCTGTGGGTGTCCTGGAGCCAGTGCATCACCTCAGATAAGCCAGTGCCCTTGTGGGCACTGATTTCTGCCGTGGTGATGTTCTGCTTGGCACAGGCAATGATGTCTGGGAGTCTGATCAAGGACTTCATCTCCTCGATGGTCATGTAACAGGGCAGATCACTAGAGCAGAAGCAGCGCGCAGTCACGGTGTGCTGCCACAAGCCCATCCCAGCCCTCGCCGCCCCATGGGCCACCCTCCTGGCTATGGTCCAAGGGAGCTCCTCCCCCGGGGCACCCCACACTCCTCCAGGAGGACAGACCCGTACATTTTATTGAAGAGTATCAGGACTGATGCTTCCGCAAGTCCTTCTGCAGAAAGAAGACCCAGGAGTTGCACACAGGACGCGGACAGCTGAGTGGGGTTGGCGGCATCCATCATGAACTGGGGAAGAAAATGCAGACCGGGACCACCCCATGAGGGAGACATTGCCAAATGCCCTCCTTTGGGCATTGAGACCTTGCTCAGAAAAGCAAAATGACTTTTAAACAAATGACTTTGGGGCCAGGGGAAATAGAGGAAATTGCATTGCACGAGAGTGACCTGGTGTCACTTGTTTCCACCCATGTGGAAGCCTCTCTACTCGTGTGGCCGTCACTTCTCCCAGGAAGGGTCCTGGGATTTGGGGCCAGGCCTTGCTAGGATGGAACAAACCCACAATGGGTACAATTCAATAGTAAACATTAAAACACACCCGAGGGAACACTGCAGACAGCAAGCGCCTTACAAGTGGAGAATAAACACTTCTGCCAGCAAGCCCCACACGGGCTGCGCATCAGCTCTGGGGCAGGAGCACTAGGGATCAAACTGGGGTCCCAAAAGGAAGCCGCTGGAAGGTGAGTCCTGTTCCCTTGACTAGCATCACTGCCCAGGAACCCAAACTCCTGCCCAGCAATGCCTAAAGCAGCCCACGGGCTGCTGACCTACCAGGAGACAATGGCAATCTCCATAGTAGCTGGGCCAGATGGGGCCCATGCAGCCCCCCAGCTCCCGGATGGTGATCTTCCTCGGGACCACGATGTCCGTCAGGTCGGTGCCCACCTGTGGGAAAAAACCAGGAAGCATTAAGGACACAGGCGCTTCTCCACTGGGAGCGTGCACTGGCCTAAGGCCCAACACACCGGCTCTCAGGGGCTTAGACGGTCCAGCACAACCCCAAGCAAAGAGGGTGAACCTGGCTTCCAGGGGCCAACGCCCTAACCCCGGAGCTGACTGGCCGCGGCTCCAACACCCACCAGCGGGTCGGGTCGGCCTCTGGGGGACCAGCTCCGTCCCAGGGGGCAGGCTCCTCCCCGTGACACCGGCTCACCTCCCGCGGGCTGCCCTAACACACCGACCGGCCGGATCCAGGCCCCAGAGGGTCCCCGTTTGTGCCACCCCGCGGGAGAGCGGAAACCTACCGTGGGCCGCGTCGGGGGGGGGTCGCCCAGGTCGCCCTTCCCGTCCGCGGAGCTCAGCTGTGCGGGCCGTCAAGGATGCGGAGCCAGGCAGGGAAGGCGGCGGCGGCCGGAGCCCGCCCCGGGCCACCCCGGGCGCCCAGCCCCGCCCCGCCCCCACCCCCCGCGCCCCAGGCCCCCGCGCCCCCCAGCCCCGCCCCCCCGGGCGCCCCGCTCCCCCGGGGTCCCAGCCCCCCACCGCCACTCCCCGCCCCCGCCCCGCGCGGAAGGATAGTCTGCAGCCTCTTCACCAACAGCGTCTTGCCGACGCCCGCGGCCCCCAGCAGCAGACACATCGCGGCCCCCGCCCCCGGCCCCCGCCTCGGGCCCGCGGCGCAAGTCCCGCCCCCCCCGCGCCCTCATTGGACAGGCCTGACGTCCGAGCTGCTCATTGGCTCTGGGCGCTCGCCGTCCCCAGCGCGCCCGGCCGGAGCCGCGCCTGTGCGCGCGCCCGAGGGAAGGCGGAAGCGGAAGTCGGGGGCGCGCCGGTTCGCCGCGGAGAGCGCCGCGGCGTCGGGTCGGGGTCCGGGGTCGCCATGGGGCGCGGCAGCGGCACCTTCGAGCGTCTCCTAGGTAACGCAGCCCCCGCCCCGCGCGCTGGCCCGCGTCCCGGGAGCGGCGGGGGGCGGCCGCGGCGCGATGCCGGCCCCGGGGAGTGGGAGGGCGCGGCGGTGCGGGGACCCGGCGGGCGCGGGCGCTGGGCGCTGGGCGCGGGCTGCGACCCGAGCGGGCGACGGCGCGCGGAGGCCGGGCGGGCGGCGGCCTGCGAGCGAGCGGCCGCGGGCCCTGAGTCACGGAGGCGGGCACCTGCCCCCGACCGCGCGGACTGCGGGGCCCGACGGTGCCCGGCGCAGCGGCTCCGCGCTCCCGCGCCGCCCCCCGGGACCCCGTCCGCGCCGCGCCCTCCGCAGCCTCGCGGCGTCACCCCAGGGCCCCGGCGGGCTCGGTGTCGGGGGCGCCCCAGCGGCGGCCCGGAGCCCGCCTGCGTTTTCCTCGGGTGTGGCTTTGGAGGAGACCCCGAGGAGGCGTGCTCCTGCGGGCTGAGGCCGGTTCGGGCCCGAGATCCGCCGCAGCTCACCAGCAGGCCAGTGCCCCCGCGGCTGGCTAGGCCCCGCGGCGCCCGGACGAGGGCCAGCAGGCCGGGGCGCACCCGGGCACCTGCCGGAGGTCAGCCCGCCGCGGCCCCCAACGCTTGAAGCAGGGACCCGAGGCGGCGCCGCGTCCAGTCCAGCCTTGCCCCGCTGACATCCCAGCGGACAGGCTAGAGCCCGGGAAAGCCAGGGACCCCGAGGCAGGAGGTGGCCCAGCGTAGAGTGAAACCCCGCCTGGCTCTGCGCCAAGCTGTGCCACTCTGGGCAGCGACCTCGCTTCTCGGCCTCGTCGTCTTTGTCCGTAAGGACGACGGACACAGGACGCTGCTCAGGAGCTCGTGTGAGACCTCAGATCACGCTGGGTGTCTGGAAGGGCACTTGGCACGCGAGTGTGCAAGTGCACGGCAGGTGCTCGGCGTTAGTAGTTTTTACGTCGTCTGCCTTTTTTCGGGGAACACAGCACCCTTGCGGTTATCGGGCGCCGAGAGGATTTTCTCCGGCGTCCCGTTCAGTCCGAGTGTTTTCAGTGGGAATGAGGCGGTCTCTTCTCCCCATTGCGGAGCTGGGGGACCACCCAGGGAACCGCAGAGGACGAGCCCTGGTAACCGTGTGCTTTTGCCTTAGACAAAGCGACCAGCCAGCTTCTGCTGGAGACCGACTGGGAGTCCATCCTCCAGATCTGTGACCTCATCCGCCAGGGAGACACGCAGTAAGCGAGGGGGCTCTGTCTGCTCAGAAGCGGGGGCTGGAAGCACGGTGCTCTGGGCTTGCCTGCTGCACGCTGGTGCCCCAGGATCCCACAGTGTCCTGCCCTGATGGGAGTGAATCACATTAGGCCTTAAGCGGAGAATCGAGCAGTCTCCACACTGGGGTTTCTGGGATCTGGGGACAAGGAAAGGGTTTTCTCGGTACAGCCTGGGGGTCCTTAACATTTGCTTGGGGATTTTGAAGATCAGGGGTAGGGGCGGGGGGCTTTTCTCAATTTAACTTCTAAGATACGTGTTTTTTTTTTTTTTTTCATTTTTTTTTTTTTGACTAATACCTTTTTTTTTTTTTCAGAGCTAAATATGCCGTGAGTTCCATCAAAAAAAAAGTCAACGACAAGAATCCTCATGTGGCCTTGTACGCCCTGGAGGTAACTAGACCCCTGCATTCTGGCCACCTCAAGGGTCACCCCCACCTCCACCCCAGTGTCTGGGCAGAGGGCAGAGACAGGCTGACCCCAGGGCCTTGCCCACCTGCCTGGGGAGTGAGGGTAGGTAGAAGCAGCTGTGATGGAAGGCAGTGCCTCAGCTGCCCCGCCTGAAGCTGACAGGCTTAGGGCCCAGAGGGTGACTCTGGTTCCTGAGACTCGTGGGAAGAGAGGACGGTCAAAGGAGCACACAGCTTGGGTTGCTGCCTGACCCAGAGCTGCCACATGGACTCTTGTGGGGCCAGGTGGCCCGAGGTGGGCCTGTCCCAGGGGCCAACCCCGCGGGTTGGGGGGGGCACCAGTCCCTGCCCAACCAGTGGCCCCACCCTTCCCTTCCTCGGGTCCTGCAGGTCATGGAGTCTGTGGTGAAGAACTGCGGCCAGACGGTGCACGACGAGGTGGCCAACAAGCAGACCATGGAGGAGCTGAAGGAGCTGCTGAAGGTGGGCGCTTGGTAGGAGGCAGCGGGGTGCAGAGCAAGGAGAGGACACAGTCACCCTGAGACTGGGCCTATGCTTTTCTGGGTGTTTGCCGGCACCTGAGGCAGGAGCAGTGCTAGGCAGACAGAGGACAGGAAGACGGGTGTTGGTGGTTCCTGCGCCTCGAGCATCCCAGCCTGGTGATGTCAGGGGCTGCTGTGTCTGGGGACACGGAGGAGGCTCTGCTCTACGGGGTCAGGAAAGGCTTCCCAGGGCAGTGTTCAGAGCCTCACTGGGTGGCGGAGGAGGAAGGGAAGGAGCGGTGTGGGGATGAGTGTGAGCGGGGTGTGTGGGCAGAGGCCTGGGAGGAGCACCAGGGGCATCTGGGTGGGTCCCATGTGCAGAGCCAGGGTTCTGAGCAGGGGGGCGCGTGAGCCTGACGTGTTTACGGAAGGAGAGCTGGGGCACATGGCGCAGCAGGGATGCCTTGGGAAGTGGGCTCCACACCCTCGGTTTGTAGAGCCCTGAGAGAGTGTGCTGCACGGGCCACTGCCCCCCCACGGCCCCATGGGCTGGTGCTGCCCACCTGCAGGGATTGTGACGTGGGTGGTGACACCAGCAGGTTGTGTGATGCAGAGCAGGCGGTACAGGGGTGCACCTGTTTCCTGAGGTGAAAGGGTGGCCCACAGGGTGAGGCGAGTAGTGGAGCCCCGGGTGCCGTGTCTGCTGCCCCTGGTGGGGGCGGGGGGGCTGCTGCTCTCTGGCCTGTTTGGGCTCACATGGCTGAGAGCCCTGCCAGGACCTGAGCTGGGCCCTGACTGGTGACCCGGCCAGTCCTTACTGTGGCCCGGCTGAAGGAGCAGGAGGGTTAGTGTGTCACGCGATTGTGTCCTGTTTGTGCCGTGTGTGGTCTGAGTCGGCTAGTGCCCCCTGGAGAGGAAGGGTTACAACGGGGAGGAGGAGTTCAGGACTGGACACATCACGGGCAGGAACCAGAGGGCTAGTGTGTGAGATGGTCGGCATTTCTGCGCAGCAGCTTTCTCATCCTGTCGTCTTCCTGAGCGTCCCTCAGAGCTCTAGGAACCTGGCTGGTGTTGCTCTAACCTGGTGGACGTGGCGGCTCTGCATGCCCGCTGCCCACCCCCCAGGCTGGCTGCACGGCTGCCCCCTCAGTGTGGGTCTCGTGGGCTCCCCCTGTTAGAGCCTGGCGTTTGCCGGAGCCTCCCTGCGGTTGGTCAAGCTCCTGGGGCAGGAGGAAGATTCATGTGGTTACGGGGAGCTGGGCTCCCGGGGTGCCCTAGCTTCTCCCAGGGCGGTAAGGAAGGGTCGAGCCCTGAGTGGGCAGGTAGCCACGACGGGTTTGTTTGAAGGACGGGGCTTCAAGGAGGAGGGTTGGGCCTGGGGAGTGGGTCCGTGCTCGGCCCGGTGTCCCACCCGGGGCCCTCCCTGCTCTGCCAGCCGCGCCGCTCCCTCACGGGGAGACGTCCCGGGTGTTGGTGTCCCCCGCAGCCCTCGTCACACTTTTCCTCCTCTTTTCCGTGCAGAGGCAGGTGGAAGTAAACGTCCGAAACAAGATTCTGTATCTGATCCAGGCTTGGGCGCATGCCTTCCGGAATGAGCCCAAGTACAAGGTGGTCCAGGACACGTACCAGATCATGAAGGTGGAAGGTGAGCTGGGCGGGGTCCGTCCCAGGCCCGGGACACAGCCTCCAGGAGCCGAGGGGCAGCTCTGCTCCAGGCGGAGCCAAGGAAGGCTGTATGCACCCCGTGACGGCACCCCACTGCGTGACGGGCGGCGGTAGGAGAGTGGAGTGGGGGTCCCCGTGGACCCCCTGCCTTTCCTGACCTCACACCCAGTCAGGGCAGGACAGGGCATGCGGCAGACAACACACACGTGGGGAGAGTTAGCAGAGGAGCTAATCCCCGAGCGTTGGGTCCTCGGGGGGAGGGAAAGCTGGGGGTCCTGGCCTCCAGGCGGCTGGTTGAGCACCAGGGGTGGGAGAAGGCTGGACAACAGGCAGCTCCTGTGCCGGGCCTGAACGTGAACAAGCCAGTGAGGAGGGCTGCTGCCAGCATCCTGGGCGGGACTCGCTTCCGGGCCCGGGGCCATGGTGGACCGGTGATAAGGTACAGGGGGTGGCAGCCTGCAGGAGCGGCTGGGGTGGGAGTTGAGGTGCCCTGAGGGTGGGAAGGTCTGGGAGGCATTTAGTGGGGCTGTGACAGGCGAGGGACCTTTTCAAGGCCTCTTATGGGTCCTCCCAGCCGTTGTGGTGGCCACCCAGATCTGCTGGGGCTTGGTGAACAGGGCAGTGGACTCAGGCCATAGTGCCCACGCTGGGCAGCAAGAGAGAGAGGGCTGGGGTGCCCCCCCCTGTGCAGAGGCCCTGTCCTGAGGCGTGGAGCAGGGGCGGCATCTGGATACTCTATGAGGGTCCTGTCCATGCCGCTGAGCTGGCCTCAGGCCCTCAACCCTGGATGTTGGACATGGGATGGTGGGTGTACACCCATGTTCACTTTCCTGGAAGGGCATCCAAAGCTTTATGGAGTCCCCAAAGTTATGTGCCTCAAAATAAGCTTGGGAATCCATTTGAAGA